TCTCCCTTTACTTTCAATCATGTATTTTGTCACCCTACAGTATTTTTCTGCAGACTGTAATTTCCAGCTTTTTATCTTTGTTCTGAAGTACAGTCCTTGCATACCCCAAATACCCATTGCACTCACATGAAAATTTACAAAATCACACATCCTAATCTTGTAAATGTAAATAGGTACGTTTATACCAGATCTCACTGTTCCTCTGCTACCTACTTTAAACACCAGGAAGAATGAAATAACACCAGATTTCACCCCTTAAATAGCACCTTTCATTAGGGAAGTGACATACTTCGTAGATTTAAAGACTGAGACTCAGCTGCAGTTTAGAACAATTGCATTTGATTCTCAGAAAAACAATTCTGTAAACATACAGAAGCAAATTAATAATAATAAGTAACCTACAGAAGAAAACTGTCTGGGGAGCTTTGCAACAATCTCATTAGAGGCAGTCAAAGTGCTGTAGAAAGAAATTCCATAAAGCAGGTAAGATATGGATGCCTCTCATGAAAATGCAATGTTTCCACTATGACCTGTTATATGTATTTTCTCTCAACAAGCTGCAGCCTTTACTCTTACTTCTCATCTCTGTAAAAATTCTTTATTTTCTAGTTTCAGATATTTGAAACCACTACCACCGAAATCAGTATCTCAAAACATGGTTCATGGCAAAAAAGTAGCAATTTTAGACTCATGTGCAAGTTTATTTCAAAGGCATATGATGTTACAATGAAACCATAGATATTTCCACTGCTGTGACTTATTCCGCAAACATTTCTGCTTCAGTGAAGCAAAGAATCTGTTTATTTCCTGGAACATGTAGAGGCTTGTTTCCCAAGCTTCACGCAGAATGGTATCCTGCCCCTATCCTGTCTCCACTCAGCTTCCCATGCTTCTTTCTTTATGTCATGAAGACAAGCTGGAGAAGGAAGAATGAGTTGGGCTGAACGTACTGTGAAAATATTATTATTTTAGAGTGCAGGTAGTGAAAAAAAAAGTGACAAAAAAGTAAAAGAAAAAAAAGAAAAAAGTTTTTTTAAAAAAAAAAAGAAAGGAAAAGAAAAGGCAAAGTTGTTCTTTTGGTGGTGATTTGGCTGTAAAATGCTCCTGGCACATGGGCATTCATTTCCTCTCTTCCTTAACTCCTACAATTTAACTGTTTGTACAGCCAAATTCTAGACTGAATTTGGACATGAGAGGGGAACACCAAGGACTGTAGATTGGTCCAGGCTGGACCAAGAATGCCAGATTGATAGGAACAATTTTTTAATGCAGCTTGAAAAAGTTCAATGTCACAGGTTCTTCTGCTTAGTAAAACCTGTTCAGAGGCTAAAGGATTCTGGTGGTTCTGATACTGTTCTTGTATTTTGACTTGAAAAATACAACAGGAAAAACTTGAGGGAATAGATGACATAGCCAAGCAATAATTCTATTGCTTTAATTTTAAACTGCCATCTTCTTATGACCAAGAGAAGATAAGGAGTATGGTTTCTAATGTCTGTTTTTTGCTAAGACAGACTAGCTGAAAGCATAATCCTTGCTCAAAGAAAGCAATGATATCTTTGGAAGATCTGCTTCTTACCCTAGCCTTTCCCACCTCAATTCTTCACTTGTGCCACCCCAAGTTAACAAACTCATTAGATTTAAAAATAACCTTAGAAGGAGAGTCATTTTAATTCTTTCTACATCATGTATAGATTCATAATCTATTTTACTGAGGAATTTCATTAACAATTTAAACATAACCATTAGGGCAGCACAACACTGGCCTGAGCAGACAAGTGGGTGAACTTCACAAGCCTAAATTTGTGCTGAGAAAACAGTCACTGAACTGTAACTATGTCACTGTTCCTTTGCTGAACAGATACCAGTTTGGGACAGCCTACTCAGAAATCACATCTTTGATTGATGCAGTTTTCACTTGAGTTCCCAATTCAAAGGACTCCTTTTCTATAATTCAATTTAGGGGAAAAAAAAAAAAAAAATAAAAAATCTTCAGGTGAGAAAAACTATCTTCAGTTTACAAAGTGAACATAAATAGTAACTTTAAAACCATATTTTCATTTCTGAGCTAATATTTAGATGCTGATGCTATATATAGATTGGTATTTACAGTTTATTTACTTGAACTAAGCAAATTAAAATATAACTATACCATTGTGTATTTAATTTTCTGACATCCTAAAAACACACATAAGTCATTGTGTCTCCTTTAAAGTTTACACAAAGCTGATAGCAATTCTCCTTGCCTCTAATACTCTTCTTACTTGTTCATTATAGAATCCTTTCAACTTTGCCTCTAGCAATTCACAAACTCATTTTTTCACGAGTAAATATTTAAACCAGATCTGTTTTAAAATGTCTACAGAAAAGAAGAAGATAAAAGCAAGTATTTAGATTTATAGCTAACTGGGTAATAATCAACTGCTACTAGTGCTGAAAGAACTTGATCCATGTCTCAGCTTTTACATGAACCTTTAGTGCAGGTAGGGGGCTGTGAGCCTTTGTGCTCTTAAGCAAACAAAAGATTGCCACACACCTCACAGGACAATTAATTCATTGAAACAGGACATTTAAACTTTTCCTTTTCATCTGTAATGTAAGAGCTGCACTAATATTTGACTTTCTGTTTCACAGTGAAAAGAAAGAAGGATAAGAAAGGCAGAGAATTAGAACAGCCATCTGATCATTGAGAACTTGCCCCATGCACCTAATGATCTGTCTCCATTTATCTTCAAGTCTTAAACATGTTAACTATCAAAATAAACTGATCACTGAAATAAACAGCAAACATTTTCAGCATGAGGCGCAAAAAGGTTGCTTTCACACGTCATTTATAATTCCTTATAAAATCATGTTTTGACTTCTCTTAAAACTGCCTATTTCCACCGTTTTGATTTTAAACCTCAAACAGAACCGATATACAAATTCCAAACAAAAGACTTCTAAAAACTACAGTGACATACGGTAATTGTACCTCATGTTATTTAAGATTGTAACGGTTGGTGACACACAAAATGGTCTTCCCCAGAAGGTTGTTTGTTGCCCACTTAAAATTAGTGGTAGCTTCCTTAGGATTCAAGCTTAGACTTAATTACAAATGCCAAATTACTATGAACTAAGTAATTCTGAGATTTTTCAAAAGATTTATAAATAATCTTTTCACCATCTTTAAAAAAAACAAAGAAACAAAACAAAACAAAAAAAACAAACAAACAAAAAAAAAAAACAACAAAAACCAACAACCCCAAAACCCCCAAATTGGTGATTTTTGAAAAGATGGAAACAAAGAAAGCAAAGAAAGAGGAATTCATGTTTGAATAGCATGTTTTCTTAGAAGGAAACAAACAAAAGGAAAAACTGCGTAAAATGGATTTATGAGATCAGAATAACACTCTTACACTTCACATTTCACTAACTTTATTGTAAATAAAAAGAGAGTAAAAACAAAGAAAGGGGATAATACTTAATTCGATCAATTGGAGAGACTAAAAAAAAAGTTATATGTATTAAATTGTTTGTCTGGGTTCAAACTCTGTCTAGAAATACCTTCTGCAACTGACTGATTTTGAAGTGATTTGCCCAAGTATGTCGAAATCAGCAGTTCATTCTTGGCATCAAATGCCACAGTATCTGCTATGCAGAATATAATATCTTTAAAATGTTTAGAGAAAGTATGTTTTCTCAGTACAAAAATAGTTGAAAAAGTTTCAATTGACTTTCTGTGTTTATGCTATACATGGGCAGATGTTACTGCTGCAAGCATTTTAAGTTATTCTTTTTATAGTAATCTATGTTGCAATCTTTAATGAAAATTAAATTATTCAGATGCAGAGATATATAATGAAATTCTCTCCAACCATAAGAGAAATAGACAGGAAGCCACATTTATAAAAACTTTTGACTATTAAAGACACTGTCTGAAATTCTGGGTTTATAAGTTTATTCAGCAAAAAGCACTAAAACTAGAATGGAAAGAAAAAAAGGAAGTTTGAAAAATTACTATCTAAGCAATATATGAAATGCTGAAGAATTCTTAATACAATATATAGACTGATTTAGAGGTATGATTCTAAATCACAATAGCGTATACTTGGTTATATTTTACTCCAGCACAGTTCAGAAAAGAAAGCTTGTGTATAAGAAACTGTATCTTTAATAAAGTAGCATGAAGTATTTCAGGAACTTGACAATTCATTTGTTCTATAAAAGAATTGTTTCTGTTTGGAACAGGGGAAAAAAACCCTCCCAAAACATAAATTCACAGTTACAGAAACAAACAAGTAAACCCAAGGTTTTCCACAAGAGTATATTGTATCAATTTTTTTTTTTTATATTCTGAACTAGAGAGCAATATATGAAACAAGAATAATTCACTCCTTTTATTGATTAAAATCTTGATGGGATGTAGATGGTCAACAGTCCTGGAAGAAGTAATAAAAGGCTTCTGCTGCAGAATGAAGAGATTCTAATCCCCTCATTGGCCAAAACCAGAGACACTGATTACTCATTTCCTTCTAAATGTATATAGCACTATAAAGATATTTATCTACATTGCTCTCTCTCGCTGTAACCTTGGTAATAAAGTTATTTCTAAAGGTATCAACAGATCACCCTTTTTGGGTTTCAGGAAAGAATTCATGCTCACTGAGGCCTACCTGATAATAGGCACAGGGTCTAGGAAGACTGCCTCTCTTTTGGCATTAAAAGAAACCAGAAACTAAAATTAATACGACAACATCAGAAGTGGAGTCGAGACTCCCTAAACACATGGTATGACAGGAATGTCTATCCTCAAGTGAGTGGTTATATGATGGAACTTTGCCATGACAGTGTTGGACCTGCTGAAATGTGTTAACAAAACTATTTACTTACAAAATAGTAAGTCTCTAAAAGAATTCTTCATAGCTATGGCTGTCGTTTTTTGCCAAGCTTTTGAGTTAAACCAGAAAACATTCTAAAGCATAAAAGTCCCATTCCAACGGCAGGAAAACAGCACTTACAGTGAGGCTCATAGGGAGGAGGAGGATCACCACAAGGAACACACTCCATATCTTGAAAGCCTCCGAGCTTAGTCTTCCTATAAAATCTAGAAGATAAGTGAATAAAAAAAAAGTGAATCAAACCCAGTTATTTTTCCTCACAAAATTAATCAGGTGTTTTAACAAGATCCTCCGTTAGTGCAAACTTTTGTCAATCTGTGTCCCAGAGCAAATGATCAGGAAATAGAAGAAAATAAAAGCAAACAAAACTACAGTAGATATTAATAATATGGCAGTAGATCTAAAGACAATTGAGGAAAAAATTGTAAATCTATTAGTTCAAATGCATAGTCACTATAATCTTGTATTCACATAAGAAATAAACAGTTCTGGAGACTTCAGACTGAAATCAGTAAAATTTGTGATGTAAATCAGTACAAATTGTGTAAATCAGTAAAATTTGTGATGTAAATCAGTACAAATTGTGTAAATTTTCTGCGTACATCACAACAGATAAGTATAATGCAGGCTTATTTACACATTTTAAAAAAGAAAAGTGAAATGATTAATTTATATAATGCTCCTAAAAGAAACAAGATTTTGCAAGGTAATTATCACCACTAACAGTATATAATGGATCAGATACCTGTGCTTTCCAGCTAGAATCCCCAAGATACTTTTTTCCTTCTCTGAGTTAGAGAAAAACTCATAAATTGCTTCACTTACGTATGTGCACAGAAAAGCATCACCTCCCCAATAAAGTTTAACATGCTGTGTGACAAAATCTTCAGAAAATAAGATTATTCTGTTTGTTTTGTAGAACAGTAAATATGTTTTTTCAGAATTATGTTTCAATAAACCAGTAATCCCTCTCTGACCCTTGCTGCTCATCTAGGAAGATCTTCACCACCAACCAAAATCACAATGTGCATGGACTATGAATGCAAATTAACAAAGTGACCACATGAGTTCCAATCTACATTATCCAATTCTCCACTTTGTTTCTATATTCTCACTTAAATGCAGACTTCAAAAATCTTAGATAGCAGCATTTCAAGGTATTAAAAAATTGCTACTGTGAACAGAAGTATTGGTCAGATGGTTCAGGTAAGTAATAGCAATGGGAGGCTACAAGCAGTAACAGGCAAACCATAAAATGAAACTGTAAAGCAAGCAATCTAGCCAGCTACTTATTTCTAAAGAAATTAATATAAAAACATAACAAAAAAAAAAAAGTGGATGTCATACCCAAGGAGACATTTTATTGTAAAGACCCTGCAAGAACTTTATTTTTGAGTTTATGTTTGAAGAGCTTACTGACTACAGTGATGCTTAGGCAGCATCTAAACTGACGGACAGGTGTGTCCTACAGTTCTGTTCCCCAAAACACCCAGACCAGATATGACTCCTGGCCATGACTCCCTCCCTCCTCATGTTTCCAACTTTGCTGCCAGTAAAAGCAGGTTGTGGAAATAGCTCTCATTTTAACACATAGTCTATACACATATCTAGAATACGTTCTAGACCAGAATAGTGAAAAGCATTCTCAGCTTCCCCCCCCCCCCGCCCCCCCCCAAATTCATGTTTTATTCTGGCTTTTTTTTCATTCCTTTCTTGTCTTACCAAAATTTACCCTATATTGTTTACACCACAAGAAAAATCTCCCTACTGACAGCCAAATAAGCCCTACAAAACATACCTATTAATATGAAATAACAGCATAAATCTATCCACCATGTGGTTTCGGGTAGTATCAAAAGTGGTTGTGAATAACATCTAACACCTGGGGTTGCACCATGACTTAAACTAACATAATACCAAGGCTTTAATAAGTGTTTCTAAATGAAAAGGCCAAGATTAGAACCGAGGACCTTCATAAATACATGAAGGATACAAATATTCATCTTGAAAACATGAACAAACAAATGTTAAGCAAACTAGTTTTGATTTTATCCAAGTCTCATCTTCAGAAACAGACTTACCCTGGTAAACAGTCTCCACATAGTGCATTGCTGGTGGCAGAACAGTTGGACTTCTGAAACCGGTTAACTAATGCACAATCCAGACAAGGCTTGCACTTCTGAAAGCCCCAGTCTTCCTTGAATCTGTTTGGCCTGCATGTCATGCACTGTGCATCCTCCCCATATCCAAAGCCACATTCCTGTAGGGATTAACAAGCAGTAGCAAGCTATTCAGTCACTGAAAGCATGAACAACAAGAGAATGCTGGAATAAAATGAAGACCTAGTGTAATTATTACTGAGAGTAGGTCTTTCTAGAGACAAAAGCCATCCTTTCAGCAAGTTCAAATGTGTCTTCCACTGCTAATAATCTCCCTTACTTCTATAAGTAATACTTAGTCATCCACTTTATTCATGAAACCACTGTGTATTTGAATGATAAAGGGCTTCAAGGACTCCCACAGTTTCATTATAACTAGCTTATGGTAGAATTATTGAGCTGTCTGTTTTTTAATTAGGTCAGTCATGTGAAAGTGCAGAAACTGGAACAAGTGAAGTATAAAGGCACTTACTCGGTTACAAAAACAGCAAAGAAGCACTTTGATATTAAGGTTCATAGCTAAGGTGAACAAAGTTAATTGCCGAAGAGAGTGCACTGATCTTCAAAGGCTTAGCATTTCTGTTACCAAATAAAACAGAGCTGGTTAATGACCATCAGTGAGGCATGAAACGTTGCTTAGCCACTAAGAATTTCAGAAACTCAGTCCACTCCAGTTCTAACAATTCTCAAACTGTTGGAAGCAAGTTTAATAGTTCTGCGGATCACAGGGAGGCGCAATATTTTACTAGACAAGGAATATAATTACAGTTGGTTATTTATCCCAAATTTAGCTGTTTAAAGAAATTATTTCCATTCATTTGCAAAAGGACACCTAATACAATTGACAGGCTGCAAAGAGAAAAACTTCACTCAACAATATGTAATAATGTGGGGACTGAATTCCAGAAACTGATAATCAAGAATTTTCAATCTATTTGATTTTTATGTCACTATTTCTTAAGAGTTATCAAGTTACTAAGAGCTGCTATTCCCTTTTCTCTTCTCAATTCCCCCCCCCCCCCCCCCCCTTTATTTTTCTTTTTTTTTTGAGTACTTTGGAGTTAGGTTTGATGCATTAGGGGCACACTGCAAAACAGCAAGAGGAGCACAACAAATCGCTGGAAAGGATTTTTTTAGAAGGAAGTAGGTGGGAAAGACCTCCTTCTCCAGTATATGGTCTCAGTGGAAGAACAGGGCATCTTCCCAGTGGGAAAACTGCAGGAAATCTTTAATTGGGCAACTTAAGAGAAGGTTTCCACCAGTTTCCTCCACATGTCCCTGGTTGATGTATATAAGCAACTTTTTCCCAAGTCATCCACCAAAGTCATTCACCATCCACTGAAAAACTCTTGCAGCAAAAAGCTTTGAACTATTAGAAATAAACTCAGGGTTCTCCAAGGTTTTCCACCGAGAAAGCATTTATGGATGAGCTCTGCAATGGCCAATATGTATTTTATAGTGCTTCTAATTTGCAATGGTAGAGTAACAATAAACACCTTCAGATACATTTTACTGGACATTCTAAGAATTCTTTCCTTTTTTTTAAGAATATCTTTACTGTCCTCTGAAGAGCAACAAGCACTCAAGTACTCAGAAAATGAACAATTCTAAGAAAGCAGCTACAACCATACACTAAAAAAAAGTTTTCTTCCATGTGTTAGACCTAGCAATTAAAAAAAGAGGGAGACAGACAAATCACTGGAGTTAGGAATACCCAAGAAAAGCATACATATGAAACTGTACAGTTTCATACACTGTACGGTGCAGTCCTCCTGCTAGATATGGACCCTAATAAAGCTGGTAGGCAAAAGGTATAAAAGTATTTCCTTTTATTTTTTTCTAATTTACCTCCGACATAGAACATTTTCTGGCATTTTATTTCAAACCTACCAGTTTGAATCATATCAGATTTCTGCAACCTCCCCAGACAATGGGGGTTCTAGCAGTTCTATTTTATGTCACCTAAAAATATCTCACTATGTTTAGTTTTACACTCAATTTCATTTACGAAATTGTAAAACTGTATACAAAGCTACATGATTACCACTGGGGACTGGAATCAGACTAACTTCTACTAGGAGATTTTGCTCTTCCTAAGACTATTTAGACTTTTTGATTGAATCTCATTATTCCTTAACACATTCTTTCTAAATATCTACTCTTTACTCTTTCTATTTAGATAATCTGAATAGTAGTGTTATAGGATATAATATATAACTCAGACAAACCATGTATATTCGGATCTCTTGACAAATCATTTGGAATCAGTCCCTCCCAAGTCCTAGTAAACTTTCAAATATAAAGCTTAAATTAACTTAATTATAAGTTTTCCTTTCCAGACTACCTTTGAAGTTTCTGATCAAAACCAAGCAAACACCAGGGGAAAAAAAGTTAGAATTAAATGCCTCCAACTCACTGGCCCAAACTACCAAAGCTTGAGTAAGTTGTTTCTAGCTGAATCAGATCTTCTTTGCTATAGTTGGATGGACGGACAAATATTAGTGGTCCTCTGTAAAGTGGAATGGCTTGCTTTAAAGCTATAAAAATGGTGCATGCAACGTAGTCTTCTGCCCAAAGAATTTACAGTCTCCAGTCTTTTCAAATATGGCTTCTAAATCCTTGCCAGGAATTCTGTAGATATAATCCACAACTACAACTTCATGTATGTGCTTTTTATGTTCACATTATATTTCAGGTAGTTAACTGCCTGGCAGGTGCAAATAAATATTTAAGTTTGTAAACCAGGCAGAACTTCAAACAGATGTGTACTTATAATTAACCACATTCCCAAACTGAAGGATATGATTTAGACGATGGATTCAAACCCTTTGAAATCTTGGTCTTTATAATTTAGCAGTCCAACAAAGATACAAAAAATTGACTGTTCGTCTTTTATCAGTACATGTGCAAAACTGATGTGCACCAGTTTTCTTAGTGCTCTGTTTATGAAGCTGTCAAGTTATATGGCTGATGAGATCTGAATAGTTCCCAACTCCCCTCACCACTTCTATCCTCCCACTCATATTCTTAAAAGATGGCTTGTCTCCTGTGGCAGTTCACCTCAGGACTGCAGAGAAGAGAAATGAAACTTGTAACCTTAATTAGATAGATTTCAAAACCCCATTTTTTATTTTTGTGCCAGGAGAAAAGACAAAAGAAAAAAAGAATATCTGTTATATTTATTCCTTCTATTGTGAAGTATTCTGTGAAGAACACTTAGCCCACTCTTGCCTTTCCACTTCCCCTTTTCAATGCTACCATCAATGATACCAGCTAACATCAGTGCAATATCTCTCTCAAATAATAAAATAGTACAAGCCATGAAAACCCCAGCACTTATTTAGAAAACTGCATTAAAACGATTTAAAAAATCCTCAGAATTTAAATGCACTTCTATTTTCTTTACATTTATACTGCTTTTACTATCACAGTATTGTGATATCTCATTACCTTTAATGCATGTATTCCCAGAACAACCTTTTTCAGAAGCGGGCTTCACTAAGTTATCAAGTGAGATGACTCGTCAAGGCCAGCTAGGAATGTGGAGTGACCTAGTTAACTAAACTCATAACTTAGTTTCAAGGTAAAAATACTAAAAGCATTCAATAATACAGACACCTCTTGAAGTACTACCTTGGCAGTGTTACCATTTTCTTTTAGTATATACTACCCAAAACCTGATTCAGACAGAACAACCAAAAGTTTAGCAGACTACAAAGGGCAATGGAGTTAAGTGGTATGGTTTTTCCCTAAAAGCTGAATGCAACACAGAAAGTAAATGAACAGTAAATTAGATTTTAAACATTCTTTCAATTAAAATAACCTCAAATTTCATTTAAAAAAATGCTTTCAGGCATCATTAAGATCATAATCTGCAAGTACATTTTAGAATTTGTTTCTAGTTCCACTGATTAACCACAACCTACGTAAGTCCCTAGACAGAACAACACAGAGAAGTTCCATTTAGGCCATGATGATTACAAGAATATTTGGGTATTCTCAACAAAGTCTTCCAGCTATTAAGACACTTTTAACTGATGTCAGGTCATATAACAGGTTGCAGCACTGCACTGGTGCTGGGAAACAAAGCTTTTAGTAATACCTTTGAGTCTATGGCCATATTAAACAGCACACAGTTTTAACTTCCAAAAGTATCTTAGGGTGTGGATCAGCCTCATCTAATAATAATCAGTTGTATCTATCAGCAGAACTCTCTGAGCAGGACAGGCTTCAACAGCGTGCTGTAAACATGTCAGATTTAGCTTCTGTGGCTAAGTGCAAAGTTAGTATTAGAAGTTTCATTCTCAGTAAATTTAACAAGCTTACACACAGCTGCTCCAGCTTCCAGGAGACTCACCCAGAAACACATTAGCCTCTCCTGAACTGAAGATATGGTAGGTTTCCTCTCAAGCAGCTCTTTTGCTTTGGAAAGTTACAGAGTGACTGTCAAACATGTTACCAGCTGCTCTCAGCTTCACTAGGACATGTCAGACATGGCACACCACCTTTGGTGCTCTGTATGAGGATTGTTACATTCAGGAGTAGCTTTAAACAGTACCTTCCCGTTTAATTCACCATTCCTTTTCCAAACCAGCATGCAGGTCTCCATTTGCAAGCCAGCATGCAGGTCTCCGTTTCCTTCATCATATACCTAGTGCAACCAATAATACATAGCCTGCCTTAGCAGTCACCAAGCTCCTCTTTCCCAAAGGCTCTCTGTACAGCAGCAGTCTGTTGATGGCAGTATTTATCATCTTGTATTTGCAATGCTTTTTTAAGGCATTTCTCTCCCTTTTCATCTCTGCTTTTTCATTTTCCCCTCATCATACATTTTCCTCAAGTGCACTGATAGAACTGATTATGAGGCTGAGCTGAAAGTCTGTCTATGAGATGAATCCAGGTTAAAAATGACCAGTTCGGTGATCTGTTCCACAGTGCAGCCTAAAAACCTACTGTGTCTGCAGGTAGGGCACTTTGGAAAAAACTTACTGGTGCCAAAACTATTATTTCTGTGCTACTGAACTACAGCCTCAGATGCGGTCTGTTGACAAAACAATCTACAATTGCAGTTAAAGTTCTGAGTTGCAATACAAGCTTGATG